TCCTCTCTGCCCATTCCCCCGCCCCTCTCTCTCCATCCCTTCCTCCCTTCGTTCCCATCCTTCATTCCTCTCTCTGCCCATCCCTCCGTCCCTCTTGATCTGCAGATTCGTCACAAGTTGCGCAATCCGAACATGGCACGCATTCAGCTAGAAAGGTCTGGAGATCCTGATGCCCTCGGAAGGCAGGAGCGCGTCGTCCAGCGCCTGCTCAACCGGTTCCAGGCCACCAAGTACAACGGCAACAACTACTTCATCGGCAAGCTGTACCTCATGGATTGGGTGGATGTCCCAGAGAACATCCTGGCCCTTGATTTCGTGGGGGACCGTGACGTAGATGATGTGGTTGAAGGCGACCTGAATGGAGAGGGTGTGGAGGTTATTTTCTGAAGGGGGCGATGGGGCAAGTTGCATGTGGATGTGCTTCGTTATCAGGGATGTGATTCAAGACGTGCTGGTGTTTTGGAAGTTGATTAGGGCTTGTCTTTATGTTGGATGAAGAGGTATTGTTGAGGGTTGTTTTTCATTGCCAATAATATCTGTTATGGTTTGCGGGTATAATAATGAATGAAATCACGAGAATGTATATTTAAAAAATCGTTCAAATCGAGTTATAATATTGTAAAATTTTTACTTAGTTATATATAACAAATATACATACAACATAAGTGTCTAATTTACTGTCCAGTGATTACAACTCGTGGGACAAAAGATGTCCATTGCAGCGAAAGTCTAATAACAAAATTGGCGAGTCGATGCAATACGATTACAACTCTCCTTCGACGTGCACACCGAACCCCAATTTCCGAACGAATTGCTCGATGCGACTCGGTTTGGTTGGGAATGTTGCGGGAAAGACGAAGACGTTCTTGACGACGACTCGCCAATTCCCAGCCAACCCCCTCCGAAGCGAGGGACTTTCCCCCAACACACCTTCGACTTGAAAAACCTCCCCCCCCTTCTCCGATGAAGCTCGTCTGGCTGATCAGCTTGGGACCTGGGAATCTGACTTGGGAATCTGACTAGGGAATCTGACTTGGGAATCTGACCAGGGAATCTGACCTGGGAATCTGACTTGGGAATCTGACTTGGGAATTTCACATAGGAATCTGACTTGGGGGAATCTGACTCGGGAACATCACCTGCGAATCTCACGTGGGAATCTGACCTGGGAATCTGACCTGGGATTCTGACCTGGGAATGTGACCTTGGGAATCTGACCTGGGCAGCTGACCTAGGAATATGACCTGGGAATGTGACCTGGGAATCTGACTTGGGAATCCGACCGACCTGGGAAACTGACTGACTTGGGAATGTGACCTGGGAATCTGACCTGGGAATATGACTTGGGAATCGGACTTGGCAATCTGACTCAGGAATCTCACCTGGGAATCTCACCTGGGAATCTCACCTGGGAATCTCACCTTGGATTCTCACCTGGGAATCTGACCTGGAAATCTGACCTGGGAATCTGACCTGGAAATCTGACCTGGGAATGTGACCTGGGAATCTGACTTGGGAATCTGACGTGGGAATCTGACTAGGGAATCTGACTTGGGAATCTGACCAGGGAATCTGACCTGGGAATCTGACTTGGGAATCTGACTTGGGAATTTCGCATAGGAATCTGACTTGGGGGAATCTGACTCGGGAACATCACCTGCGAATCTCACGTGGGAATCTGACCTGGGAATCTGACTTGGGATTCTGACCTGGGAATGTGACGTGGGAATCTGACATGGGAATCTGACTTGGGAATTTGACATGGGAATCTGACCTGGGAATCGGACCTGTGAATCTGTCTCGGGTATGTAACTTGGGAATCTGGCTTGGGAATCGGACTAGGGAATCTGACTCAGGAACCTGACATGGGTGTCTGACTCCGGAATCTGACTCAGTAATTTGTCTCGGGGCATCTGACTTGGGAATTTGGCTTGGGAATCTGAGCTGGGAATCTGACTTGGGAATCTGACTGGGGAATCTCACTTGGGAATCTGACTCGAGAACCCGACTTCTGAATCTGACACGGGAATCTGACTTGGGAATCTAACGTGGGAATCTGACCTGGGAATCTTACTTGGGAATCGAACTAGGGAATCTGACATGGGAATCTGACTTGGGAATCTGAACTGGGAATCTGAACTGGGAATCTGACTTGGAAAACTGACCTGGGAAACGGACGTGTGAGTCTCTCGGGTATGTGACTCGGGAATCTGACTTGGTTATCTGACTGGGGAATCTGATTTGGGAATCTGACCTGGGAATCGGACCTGTGAATCCGTCTCGGGTATGTGACTCTGGAGTCTGACTCGGAAATCTGACTTGGGAACCAGAGTCGGGAATCAGACTTGGGAATCTGACTTGGGAGAGTGACTTCGGAATCTGACATGGGAATCTGACTTGGGAATCGGACCTGTGAATCTGTCTTGGGAATTTGACTCAGGAATCGGACTTGGGAATCTGACTTCGGAATCTGACATGGGAATCTGGCTTGGGAATCTGATTTTGGTATCTGACCTGGGGATCTGACATGGGAATCGGACTTGGGAATCTGACATGGGAATCTGACATGGGAATCTGACATGGGAATCTGACTTGGGAATCTGACTTGGGAATCTGACTCAGGAATCTGACTTGGGAATCTGACTTGGCTGGCAGGCACAAACTACAGGCAGGGCAACATGATTCAAGCATGAGAGTGGGTTATGGTGAGTCAGAGATTGGTGAGAGGAAGTTATTGGGATCAGTATAGATGACAGTGAGATGCAGGGACTCAAAGCAGCGAACAGTGATTGGTGAGGGGAGGCAGAAAGAGGGAAAGCGAGGAACAGATGAACGAGTTATCAACGGCAAGATAAGACAACGGAGCAGGGAAGACAGGAAGTGAGAGAAATACCGACCTAGATCGTCAAAAGATGAGCAAAAGTTGCAGAAACTGGGGAAGGGAAGGTTAGACGAATGGAGGTGAGAAGGTGAGAAGTAATGGGCGTGAAATGATTGGGGGTGGACGAATGGAGGAGTAAATTCAGATTGTAAGCAATGTTGAGGGTAACACATTAGCAATAGCAATGACAACGACACCAGTGACGGTCAATGGGATGACAGCAGCAAAAGCTGCAGGAGTGCAGCAGGAGCTCGCGGGCAGAGGGACGGCTTCTTGCTGATGTTTCTACTCCCCCAGTGCCCCTGCTTGGAGCGCAGCTGGAGCTCGCGCGCTGCAAGTTGCAACACGCGGTGGAAGCCTCCTCACCGCACAGCCGCAGGCAGAAGCAGCAAAGGCGCAAGCAACACAAGCGCAGACGCTTGGACCAACCGCCACCACCACCTCACCTTCTCCAGTCAAGGCTTTTGGTGACTTTCAGTGACATTCATTGCCACCTGGCAGCTGTTCATAGGCTGCGATGGCGAGGGGAGGGTGGGAGGGGAGATAGCAGGGCAGGAGGGACGAGGGTTGAGGATAGTAGGGAGGCGGGCGTAGAAAAGGGGGAAGGAAGCTGCTTGGAGCTAGCCTCCTGTTCAGACGACCATTCTGTAAGGTTGTTTCAAATCAACGCGCATTCTGTGTAACAGCGACACTCTTTCTTTATCTGGTGTAATTTCCTATCCAACCTGTAGCGGCTCTATTCCTAGCTTCCATATCGTAATTTGAAGAGACTCTAATCAGGATGCATGGACAAGGACAGCATCATGCTGCATGAAAAGTTATGTATGGAGCAACTTCAAACGCATCAACTAGTAAATAATTACTTCTGAAGTTTGTACACCGAACAAAGCCTTTCACCCTCCGCTGCATTTCTCCAATCTACTACCCCCCCTCCGTAAACCCCATCCTAGCCGGAGCCTCCAGCCAAGCACCATCACACTAATGCGTTGCTCCACCCAGATAGCTCTACCCAGGAACGCGTAATCTAGACACATGAGAGCGCCAAGAAAACACACAATAGATGGAGAGAATCTCGCGAATCTCACGAATCCCGTCTCGCGCGTCCGATTATATTCCAATTTTCGCTGCGGAACGGGATTCGCGAGATTTTCTCCAATAGTCGTAGGGCCTACGAAGCTGATCAGCCAGACGAGCTTCTTTTCGCACAAACGCTTTGATCCGGCAGGCGGGTCAGTACGGCGACTGCAGAGCGTCCACACCATGAACGATCAGAAACGTCCCTTTGAAAATCTCAGGGTCGTTAATCTGCGCGTTGGCCTTCCCGAACCGCATCTTCCTCCCCCCCCTCAGATTCGCCGACGCGGCGGCGGCGGCGTCCTCACTCTTGCTCATCTTGCGGCCATTGACGTCCTTGAGCTCACGCGCGTCGCTCATCTCCTGCTCCGAGTAGAGCCCGTCCACCATGTTGGCGCGCAGCCAGTTCCAGTACCCTTTGGCGTCCTCCAGGTCCGCGTTCGGGTTCAGCATCATGCTCACGCCCGCGCCGGCGGAGTCGGAGGTGAGCAGCGCGTCGTCCGCGGGGAAGAGCATGGCCTTGCGGTCCAGCTTGCCGAGCGTCTCGTCCGTCGGATTCCAGTCGCTCTCTGAAGCATTGCATTGCATTGCTCACACCAACACAAGAAACCAGAGCTCGATTTCGTCAACACATTTCATGATGAAAGCTATGAGGAGAACGTGGACTAGAATAGTTGAGCGCAAAAGGTGTTGACGAGTTATAACTCCGGTTTAAACATGCCGAGAGATGTAGCTTTTAACAGAGAGCTTTCATGCTACTTACCCAATTTCGGGATGAAGTGGTCGAGGAAGGTGGTGGTTATTCGGTATTTGCTGGAAATCGCGGGGTTCTTGAGTGCGTCGCGCGCGCTCTTCACCTCTGCGATCACCTCCTCCTTGCTGGGCCGCTTCGCCGCCGCCGGCGCGACGAGCACCGCGATCAGCGCGCAAATTCCGAGAATCGCCAGCTGGTTCCACCACGATGCCATGCCTCGCGCGGCTTGGAAAAGAGGGAGCGAGATAATTTCTCGACGGAACGAGTGAAGAGGGAGAGGACCTCGAAGTTTTTGAGAGGACTACTCGGCGGAAGAGAGAAGCAGAAGGATCGGGTGTTTCTGGGCAATGTGTGTTCACGTGCTTGTGTGATGTAACGAGCAGAACAGGGCTCTGCTTTATGCATTCGTTGGAGCAGAAGTGGCTGGGTTCTCAGCGCGTGAGGTGGGCTGTGGAGGAAACAAGGGTTCCGGGACTCACGCTCGAAAATGAACATGGGTGACAAGCGGTGTAGAGAATAAACACGCGGTCTCATGCGTTTTATCGTGGTATGGCTGCTTGTTTTGTGTTTAACCTCGGCAGAAAGAAAAGCACTGCGTTTCGAGTCATGCAATGCCCCGACCAATCGGATTGTCGATTGATTTTTGTGTGCGTCTCGAAACGCGTTGGGTGTGTGTGTGAGCCGTGTGATGCGGCTGGGGATGTGGAACTTTGTTGCGGAGAAGGGCTCCCTGAACGAGGGAACCCATGGATGGACCATGGTACCCCTCAGGATTTACTCTGGGAGCGCGGGACTTCAGAATGGATTTTTAACCAGTCATCTGGGGGACATCGTACCCGTCAGGGCCCGTTTTCGGGTCAAAATCCGCCAGAACGCAGGCTAAAAGCCAGGTTCGAGCAAACAGAGACCCCAGAACCAGCGGAGTCGGTGTGACCCGAATCCGTCAAAAAGGGAGTTCCGGTCAAAAGACACCCGTTAAGAATCAGCATTTGGGTAGTTGCTCGTCGAGCATAGCCCCTGGGCGCGAGGGTGCATTGACCAAAACAAGGTTCCCAGCCTCACAATCGAAAATGAGAAAGGTTTGGCAGGTGGTGGAAATGTTTACGTCTAAATTGTCCAGAGTCCCGCGCCCGCCACTTGAAAACATTTTCGAAACTAGAATTTCCAAACTCAATGCCGAAAACTACCATAAAATCTTATACATTCAGGGCAACTAGTCTTCGAACGTGGGTTCCGCTTGGCGCTTCTTGTGTTCGTAGACTGGATGCGACTGCGTTTGTCAAACGATGCCCCGACTAATCGGATGGACGATTTGATTCCGGAGTCAGCCTGAGGGCCTGCTCCTACGCGATGCCATGTCGTGCTACTGCGTGTCAAAATGTTATTTACGGGAATTTGTTACCAGCAAAATCTCAAGAACTCACGAAGGGACCTGGCATCGTGTCGTTTAGGAACACTCCCTGATACGCTCTGCATCTCAAGCCTGAACTTGAGTGCTGCTGAGCCGTGTGATGCGGCTGAGGATGCAAAACTTCTTGAGACAGAGTAGAGCGTACGCGAAAGATTAAGGGAACCCATGGTACCGCTCTGAAACGCTCTGAAAGCATCTGCTCTAGTTTCGTTAAGTTGACTTGAATCTAATGTAAGTACACGACTCCTACTTGAACCATACACTTTGTCACAAAAAAAGTTGGCCCCGCAAAAAACTGAAGTGTCTAGTCTCCGCTGGGCACAGGCAAAGTTGACTCTATTTTGTTTGTTGGCAAAATGTGACAACCAGTGCGAAACCCTAAAGATGACTGTACCCCCCTCATCAAAGTCGTGTGAGGGGGCTTCGGCGAAAAGGGGCGGCGACATCCTGATGCTGCTAGTTTTGCACGCCAACCAAGTTACCGCGTTGAATTTCGCGCACACGTGCCTACAAAAAAGGCCGAGCCCCTTCTGATTGGTTGGCCTGTGGGAGGACGGAAACTTTGGTTCACAAAGACGCTGTTACAACATACAATATACTAAATGTTACAACTACTTGCTACTAGCGCAGCCCTGTAAACGAGTACATGATATTATTGGTGTGCAGTGCCTACGAAGCCAGCCAATAGCAAGCGCCACGCGTGCACGACTGTTGTGGTGCTGGCAGAAGTGTATCGACCAACCAAATGAAACCAAGGCTGGGCTCAAATGCACAAGTTTATCTCAATACCCCACTTAATCGTTCTCACCTATCTTCCCAGAGCACGCCACCGGAAACAAACTTACTGCCACCGTACTACTAGAGGGAACCACAACTTACCCAGCCTTCACCTTATAGCTTTGCACCCATCGTTGTGTTCCTGATTCCATACTTGCTGCATCGTCTTCGCTTTTTTCTTTCCACGTTATCCGCCACTTTCACGCTTGTTTCGTAGAGTGTCTCTAAGTCGGATCCGCCGTCTAATGCATTAGTAGCTATCCCCCCACACCCCGCCGGCCCCTCCTATGCATGTTACATATGAAGCGGAAGGCCGACGTGCCTGACGTTCTTATCGCGCGCGTCGTAGCTGCACGCCTCCACCACGGTCTCCCTGTGCTGTGTCTCCACTCTGACCGTGACGGCGAGTTTGCCTCTGGCCGGCTTGGACAGTTCTATCGTGCGTAGGGCATCACCCAGTCGTACACCCTACCGGACTCCCGCAGCAGAATGGGGTCGCTGAGCGACGCATCGGTTTGGTCATGGAGGTGGCTCGTACCTCAATGATCCATGCCGGTGCATCCCATTTCCTGTGGCCGTTCGGCGTTCGCTACGCCGCTCACCAGCTTAACCTGTGGCCGCGCTCCCAGCGACCACAGGTTTCGTCGACCCTTCTTTGGACCGGGTTCCCTGATGATGCGTTCGCATTCCACGTCTGGGGCTGCCTCGCTCATGTTCGTGCCTCTGGCACGGACAAGCTCACTGCCCGCACTGTCCCCTGTGTCTTCCTGGGTTTTCCCACTTGACTCGACTGACTGGCACTTTTACAACCCGCCGTCTCACCGCTTCTTTCACTCCCATGAAGCTACTTTCGACGATTCTGTCTCCTTTTACCACCGCTTTCCACCGAGGTCTCTTGGGTCCAACTCCCCTCTTTCTGGTTCCCACTCCCCCGGTAGCCCCTGTTCACCTCCCTCCCCGTCCTGCTCCGTCTGGTGTGTCTCACGTCACTCCCCTCTTGTCGGTTGTCCCGATCGAGGAGTCGGCTGACTCTGGTGGCCCGCGGCGCCATTCTCGCTGCCTGCCACTCCCTTGGTGTCTCCTCCTCCGCCGTCGCAGTTGCCGCCGCAGCAGCCGCTGCTGCCGCCGCAGTTGCAGCCGCTCGTGGACTCTGGGGTTGCTGGCGTTGAGGAGGGTGCTAATCCAGGGGTTCCTGTCGTGGCTTGTCCCGGTGGGCATAGGGGTGGCACCGGTGCTGGAGAGAGTTCTCGCTCTTAGGGTGGGCGTTTTTGGGGGTGCTGGCGTGGTGTGTTCCGGCGGTGGCCGTGGTGCAGCTGGCGGTCCAGGTGTCGGCGTCGAGCAGTAGCAGCAGCAGCAGTCGCCGCCGGTGTCCGCCCTTTGCCTGCTCGGCCTTCCCTCCCCTGACCGCTCGCTTGCGCCTCCCCCGCCACCTCCTCCTCTTCCTGTCTAAGGCCCTGTGTTCCCTCCACCGAACTCGTCTCCGGCTCGTCTTCCCCCTCGTTCCTCCCTTGTGTCTCCTCCTCTGTCTCCTAACCAGATGCCTTCGTCTCACGTCTGGTCTCGCCGTCCCTCTCGTGCTCGTCCTGTATCTCCTGTTCAGCGTTCTCACCCTATGTTGCTTCGTTCCTACGCGTTTCGTCCTCCCCTCCTGCCTTCGCCTCCTCCGTCGTCGCTCGCTGTCGCGCCTCCCCCTCTCTCTAACTACCTTGGTGCTGCTCGTCCTTTTGTTCCTCGGGTCCTTGCATTCCTCGTTACCGACCCGTCGGTTCTTGTCTCCAGTCGTGACGCTCTTGTCGCTGCTATCGCTGACTTCGCCTCTATCCGCCACCTTGAATACGCCACCGCTCTGGTCTCTGACCGTGTCTGCCCTCTATCCCTTGGGGGTGCGCATGCCCTTGGCAGTGACGTCCTAGAGGATAGGCAGTACGAGCTTGCTTTCCTGTCTGAGGCTGCTCCCCATCTCTGTTCCATGCTGCTAGTCCATGAGGGTGACCCTGACGCCTTTGACATCCCGACCCCTCGCACTTACGCTGAGGCCACCTCGGGACCGTGGGCCTCTCAGTGGATAGCTGCCATGGAGCAGGAGATGTCATATTGGAGATCCACCGGCACCAACGTCGACGCAGTTCCCCCACCTGGGGTGAACGTGGTCGATGGCCGGTGGCTCTTCAAAGTGAAGCGCCCCCTGGAGAGCCGCCTGTATTCAAGGCACGCTACGTGGCTAGAGGCTTCAGTCAGCGTGAGGGGGTGGACTTCTTTCAGACCTTCGCCCCGACCCCGAAGACGACTACTCTTCGGGCGCTGCTGCACGTAATCGCACAGCATGACTACGAGTTACACTCCCTCGACTTCTCCACAGCGTTTCTCCAGGGCAGTCTACACGAGCAGGTCTACCTGCGCCGTCTACACGGCTTCACCGGTACCATCCCTCCTAGGACGCAGTGGCTTCTCCGGCACCCGGTCTACGGCCTACGTCAGGCGCCCTGTGAGTGGCACGACATGCTGCGTGCTACGCTAGCTGACGTGCAGTTCTTTCCGTCCTCTGCAGACCCCTCGCTCTTCGTTCGTGCTGGCCAGACTCCGTTCTACATCCTTGTCTACGTAGACGACCTGGTCTTCGCTACTGCAGACAGAGACGCACTAGTCTCTGTGAAGGCCGAGCTGCTGAGGAGACACACCTGCGCTGACCTAGGAGAGCTGCGCCGCTACCTTGGTCTGCGATCTCCAGGGACAGAGCAGCGTGCACCATCACTCTCTCACAGTCACACTTGGTGCGCCCAAGTCCTTCAGAGGTTCGGTCTTCAACTCTCCTCCGCACAGCCCACACCTCAGCCAGTAGACCACAGGCTCTCTGCTCCAGTTCCAGAGGAGTCAATAAAGCCCATTGGTCCTTACGCAGAGCTGGTGGGTTGCCTCATGTACCTAATGACTTGCACTCGTCCAGATCTCGCATACCCTCTCAGCATCATGGCTCGCTTTGTGGCCACAGGCAGACACCGACCACAGCACTGGTCGCCCGCTAAGAGAGTTTTGCGTTATCTAGCAAGTACAACGGGCACGGGGTTAGTGCTGGGAGGACGTAGGCCAGTGGTCCTTACTGGGCACACAGACGCATCTTGGGCAGACGACGCTGAGACCCTCAGGTCCTCTCAGGGCTACTGCTTTAGCGTTGGTTCAGGTGCCATCTCATGGAGGTCCACTCGCTCCTCGTCTGTTGCCCAGTCTAGCTGTGAGTCTGAGATCTACGCCGGTGCCATGGCGGCACAGGAGCTCTGCTGGCTGGCCTTCTTGCTCACCGACTTAGGTGAGCGGCCTAGCTCTGCCCCGGTTCTGAACGCTGACAACAGGACCATGATCCTCCTTTGTCAAGAGCCTCGACTTGAGGGCAGAGCGAGCACATCCAGCTGCGGTACTTCCTCCTGCGCGAGCTACAACAGCGTCGCCAGGCCTGCGTAGTACACTTGGCCTCTGGTGCCAACATAGCTGATATCTTTACTAAAGCGCTTGCGCCTAAGGATCATCAGCGGCACTGTTTGTAGCTTGGTCTAGTTCCTGTAGATTCTCACTTGCTAGGACCTTGATTGTGTACTCCTCTTTATATATACCTTTCAGACTGGCCTTGTGGCTTCTCTTCCAGTGGCCGGACTAGTAGTGCCGCCCTGTTTTGCTCCTGTCTTGTTTATACTCTTGCTGACTGGTTTTCGGACCCCTGTCTCAGAGTTTGGACTAGTAGTGCCACCCTAAGCTGCGTGTTTCTTGCTCAGCACTGTAATAATTTGACAGGTGTTGCAGGGGACTACAGTAAGTGTAGAATCTGCAAACACAAACACTTGGAAAACCTCAAGTGTTAGCCTAGGATCTTTACTGGAATGGTAGACTAGTAAGGTAGCGGAAGTCTTTGTAAGAATGAACCTGAGTATATAATTCAGTTGAAGTCAAGTTTAAAGTCTCAAAGTTGAAATCTCAAGGTTAACAATAGAAAGGCATAAAAAAGATTTTATAGCTCTAGGAAAGTACTTGTTCGCTAATGTACCTGTTCGTCACTATCGCACTATTTGCCCTAAATGATAATGAAGAGACGCAACTATTCGCGCGACTGAAACGACTGTCCTCATGACGAGTGCTATTTGCTGACGTCATCCTACGGACTTATATTCTACTGTAGGATTCGACACTATCTACCGATAATCGACTTACAGAAATGCTAAGTATGCATTATATCACAACACTCCCCTTCATTTCTGGAAGTTCGACAGTGTCACTTCTGAAGATCCCGCAAAGCTTGTTACAGTACTGAAACTTCTGTCGTGTCAGCTTCTTCGTGAGGAAGTCGGCAGCCATTTCGTTGGTCAAACAATAGACCAATCGCATTCTCCCCTTCTCGACTTCATCCTTGACGAAAAAATAACGTAGTGAAATATGTTTCGTCCTGTTCACGAAGCCAGGTTGATGCGCGATGCGAATTGCACTCTGGTTGTCACACTGTAAAGTGATATGAGTACTCGTCGTCAACTTTGCTTCTTCCAAGAGCTCCTGCAGGTAAAGTCCTTCGCGTTTTGCTGTGCAGACAGCAATAAATTCAGCTTCAGCAGAGGAGAGAGCAATCCGCTCCTGCTTCATCGAATTCCAAGAAATAGGGCCGATAGGTTCAAGGCGGTAGATGAATCCAGCACGCGAGCGCCGATTAGTAGTATCAGCAGCGTGGTCGGCGCCGACGAAACGGTGTAGGTATAGAGTTTTACAGCCGACGACGTTGTAGACTAAGCCGACGTCAGGAGTCGAGACGAAATACTGAAGCGCGCGAAGAAGATCGAGTTGGTGTTCTTCTTCAGGACGGCGTAGGAACTGTGCGAGTTGACTAGCCGCGTACGCTAGATCTGGACGACAAGTAACAGCGGTGAAGAGTAGACAGCCTAATTGCTGTTGATCGGTCTGTAGGTCGGTTAGACTCAACGGTGTAGTATTCGGTTTGTAGTCTGTCGGTAGTGATCGGTACGGTGTAGTGACTGTAGAAGGAGTGAGGTTGAAGCGGGCAGCGAGCGTCGCTGCGTACTTCGAAGCGGTGAGGTGAATAGACGTCGGTGAGTAGGTAATATTTAAACCGAGAAACTGTGAGACTGTCTCGGAGACGGTAAGCTGTAGATTTTTCTGTAGTTTCAGTATGAAGGTATTGGCGAGCGAGTCGGTAGTACTGACGTAGAGAATATCGTCGACGTAGGCGACAAGTAAAATATAGTTGCTCCCGTCAGTTAAAAGATACATCCCCTGGTCATGCGGTAGTTGACGGAATCCAGCAGTGAGTAGCTGTGAATGTACTGTAGGTACTGCTTGCATAGCCGGGGTGCCTGTTTAATGCCGTATAGCGAATTTCGGAGACGGCATACGCTCGGTGGGTTAGTAGTATACTAATGTGGGTACTCTACCAGAATGAGTATGTCGACGGGTGCGTAGAGAAATGCGTTTGCCACGTCGATTTGTCGAAGTCGTAGATTGCGGCAGGCGGCGACACAGAGTAAAATCCGAACGCTCGTATGTCGACCGACGGGAGCAAAAGTTAACTCGTAGTCGATGCCGTAAGTCTGCTCGAACCCGCGGATGACCCATCACGCCTTGAATTTCTCAAACGACCCATCTGCATTAGTCTTGACACGGAAGACCCACTTCCCGGCAAGTACCTTCCTCCCTTTTACTTCTGATGTCGGTACTAACTCCCATGTGCCGCGAGTCTTGAGAGCTGCTAGCTCTCTGTCCATGGCTTTGCGCCATTTTTCGCGGTAAGGACTCGTAAGAGCTTGTCGAACGGTTTTCGGTTAAGATATTTTACTGTCGTTGTACTGTACTGCGACTGCGAATCCAAGTATCTGTAAGCCAGTTTCTGTAAAACGCGGACGTTCTTCGTTTGCACCTGCGAAATTTTCTTCTGACCCTTCTCCCCCCCCCCAATTTCGTTAGGTGTAACACGAACTGCTTCGTCGGAGACGGGTGGCATCGGCTGCTGTTGGCGATCGCGTTCGTAGCTGAGGTGGACTTCGGGAACGTCATCCGGGTCAACATCAGCGAGGGGAATAAATTACGGGATGCCTGTTGACATGACAGGTTCGGGAATGTCAGTTGCGGTAGCTTCGGAAGCTTCAGAAACCGCCTCGTCCTGTACATCAGCTTCGGCTTCGTCAGTTGCAAATGCACGCGAGCCTTCGAACAGCCTGGCAGGGTTTGCAGCTGCTGCCTAGTGGGCACGAAAAACTGGCAAGGTGAGTCTTTCATAGAAGAGACGATCACGTGAAGGGACAATTTGGTTTGAACGAAGATCCAAAATCTTCCATGCATGATACTATTTTTCGATGCCGAGGTGTACCCCCCATTTTGCCCGTTCGGAAAATTTGCCGAGTGCTGCAGTTGGAGGACGAAACTGCACGACACACCCAAAAACTCGTAAAAGTTTTGTACTTCCCACTGTTCGTGTCCACTGCAGGTGAGGTGAAGAAAACTCGGGCAGTGATGTGGAAGACAGCAGGTTGTGTAACAGCACCGCGTGGTCCATCGCATACGGCCAAAAGCGAGGAGGAAGGCTGCCTGCGTCAGCAGAGCACGCATCTTCTCCTGCAGAGTCCGATTCATCCTTTCTGCTACCCCCATCTGTTGGTGTGCATGTGGCAGTGACTGCTTCCGTTTGATGCCGAGTGTCTGGAGGTAGTCTGTGAAAGCGTTGCTCGTGTACTCCCCTGCGCCATCACTCTGGAATTCTTGCAGTTTTGCTCAAGACTCTCTTTCAGCGACGGCGAGCCATGCGACGAAGACTGAATGGGCGAGATGTCGAGCAGGAAGGTTTGCTGTCCAAACATATCGAGTAGATGCTTCGATGAAGGTAATCACGTACAGCTCTTCTTTAGGTCCTGCTTCAGGTAAGTTAAGAATATCGCTGTAGACCTTCTGCATCAGTTTGTAACGAGTGGAGCCAGGAAAATGACTCGAAAACGGGTCGTGGGTAAGATTGGTGACCGGACACGTGGTGCAGACCGTTGGGCGAGACTGCGGTTTCATCTCCGTGCCGTCAGGTAAGAGAAGACTGTTTTATCAAGAACTGCTGCTCGGATTCAATGATTTAAAATCCCTTGCGATGGATGTCCTAACCGTTGGTGCCAAATTTCTTATGTGGCTTTGTGTCCTGATGATCGCAGATAAAAGTCGGCGTTAGTATAAAATGAAGAAATGATGAAAGGAGAAAGAGCTGGAGACATGTCAATCTCCCCTTCGACGAAACGGGTAAGGGGTAACTGAACATTTGAAGTGTCTGCTGTATTTGCGACTGCAATTTCTGATACTGCTTCTTTTGATGTTACAGTTTGATGGCAGATGGTCCTGCGACAGCTACTGGAAGACTCGGCTGCTCGGCGACTTCTTCTTTCACGGCTTCCTCGACGACTTCGGGTTCATCAGCTGCAAGTCCACTGATTTCTCCCCAAAGTGGAGCTGGAGTTCCTTGGAAGGCTGCACGGGTGTTATAGAAGGTTCGCCAAGCATTGGCGCCTTCATCGGCGGTATTAAACTCCCAAGTATCCAGTGCGGTAAGAACGGCAGCTACAGTTCTAGAAGCTGTTGGTACAGTAGTTGCCCGAAAAACAATATCCACGTGTATATAATATGTTTCTTCTGGGTGACCCCAGGGACCGAGACCAAGGACGCGTTCAGAATCACCAGAGGTGCCCTGTGCTGTGAACTGAAGAACTGATACTCCATGTTGAGTAGCAGCGCGACCGAGGTAAGTATTTGATAAACTGTGCATAACTCCTGATCCATTGTATCACAATTCCCTTGTGTGCGAATCTTGTGTGCCAGGAGTTGAGCTGTGGAGAGAAGATTGAAACCAAGGCTGGCGACGATAGGAACATTGGTAACGTGTAAGGAATATCCCGTGTCGACTGATTCAAGTATTACACTCCCAATAGATCTTGCCATAATGGTTGTCCGTTTGCAACTGTGACTGTTATCGGACGATGAAGAGGACACTGGTTGGTGATGACGCTTGTTTCAGCGGAGCACATGTGCCAACCGCAACAGCTGTCGAGATACCAAGTATTGGGTCCTGAAATGACTCGAGCAAGGTTAGCGTAAACTTGCGGTAAGGGAATGCCCTCTGCACTGGTGGTTTCTTCAAGTTGTGTCTCGAAATCTGTATCTGAAATATCAACTGTTGTAACACATCCAAAACCCCTTTTCCTGATGTTGCAGATGCAAAGACCGGAGGACGATGCTGTGATGGCGGTGTACTCTGCGGCATCTGCTGCGTCTGGGACGTCGACTGCTGCATTTGCTGATGTGGCTTCGGTAACTGCTGCGAACGATGATATGGTTGCGAAGTGCTGCGACGGTTTTGACAACGACTGCGACAAGTTTGGTAAGTATGTCCTGGTTTCTTGCAGAAATGGCAGAAGGGATATTCGGGGGAAGTCGTTGCTGTGGCTCTGGATTGAGTAAAAACTTAATTGTAATCCTTTCTTCTGATTGCGTTGTGACTGCAGGTCAAGATCTTGCTGTTCCGCTTGAAGATACGACGAAATTTCGGTTTCTGAGAGGTTCGGATTCATGCGCAAGAAGGCGCGCGTCTGTCGCCACTCGGGACCAAGTCCAGCAAGAAGGACCATGAGATACATCTCACGAGGGAAGTATCCTCCACTCTTCTCCAGTTGATCTTGTAGTGTGCGAACACGATTGACGTAATCCATGACATTCTCGTTTGTCATCATCTGCACACTTGTCAGCTGCCGAAAGAATCTTACTTGCTGTTATTGTGTCTTTTGCCATGTACACCCCCTTTAAGTGGTTCCATGCAGTTTCAGCTGGCGTGAAGCTTGAATGAAAAGATCGAACGCCAAGCTGCTCCTTTGGCGACAGGTTCCGAACTAGAACCGTATACGCCCCGAGAGAGGCGTGCAGGAAACTCTGTTGCTCCAGTTGTGTTCCCATGACAGGATACGTAAACTCGCCGGTGAAGAACGGCCATAGCCCAGCGAACTGCGCCAGAAGCTCAAACTCGAAGCTCCAGGAGTAAAATTCAACTCCGTTAAAAGGTATAGTAGTCTTGATCTGCGTGCTGGTAAGTAGATTTGGCGGTTGAAAAATAATCCCCTGTTGTTGAGGTTGTTGCTGTTGCTGGAATTGCTGTGGATGCTGCAGTTGTTGCTGTTGTTGCTGATGTTGCTGTTGCTGTTGTTGTTGCTGAGCAGGTGATCGCCCGAAGATGTAAAAGGGCTGCTGCTGCTGCGACTGCGGCTGCTGCGTAAACGGCGAGAAGGCAAATGAGCCAGTACTTGGAGCTGAAGCTCCACGCATGTAACTTGAGCCGTCAAGGCTCATTCCACTAACGCTGACGATATTGACTGTGTTGAAAACTGCTGTGGTGTTGCTTGTTGCTGTGCTGTTGCCTGATGTTGTGCTGTTGCCTGTGTTTGTTGTTGTTGCGCTGTACGTGCAGTCGATGAAACACCTGGAGTACTGACAGAAGGCGGATTCTGCTGCTGCATACTGATGTGCGCATAAGCCAGTGGAAACGGTCCAGAGGCTGAGAGACCAGTGGCGGTCGTGGAGACAGGTACTCCAGTAGTTCCAGAACTGGATCCGGTAGATGGTGCTGGTGATGTCCCAGTCATTGTTGACAGTAGTCTTAAATCCAGATAGCTCTCATACCATGTAATAATTTGACAGGTGTTGCACGAGACTAAGTGTAGAATCTGCAAACACAAACACTTGGAAAACCTCAAGTGTTAGCCTAGGATCTTTACTGGAATGGTAGACAAGTAAGACAGTGGAAGTCTTTGTAAGAATGAACCTGAGTATATAATTCAGTTGAAGTCAAGTTTAAAGTCTCAAAGTTGAAATCTCAAGGTGAACAATAGAAAGGCATAACAAGGATTTTATAGCTCTAGGAAAGTACCTGTTCGCTAATGTACCTGTTCGCTAATGTACCTGTTCGTCACTATCGCGCTATGCGCCCTAAATGATAATGAAGAGACGCGACTATTCGCGTGACTGAAACGACTGTCCTCATGACGAGCGCTATTTGCTGACGTCATCCCATAGACTTATATTCTATAGTAGGATTCGACACTATCTACCGATAATCGACTTACAGAAATGCTAAGTATGCATTATATCACACAAACACTACCCTTATCTAGCCTAGGAGGTGTGTCAACTTATACATATATTTGTATGTAGAAGTTATAGGCTAGATAGGTGTGTATTCTTAGAGGGTACAACTCCAACCCTATATCTCCCTTGTTCACCCTTGTTTCTAGTCATTCTTGTATTCTAACAGTTTGACCTGTATTGAAATCTAGCCTGACGATTCAGTTTAATTAGAACGGGCGAAAGGAAGGATACTAATGTGCTGTGAATAATGCGGTTTTTTCCTATGCGCCAATTGCGTGTAATAAGCAGGTGCATTTGTTTAGGCGCAACATTGTTTTATGTAAACACGTGCTTATGCAGAGGTTCTTATACATATTTGTGATTGTATGGAAGTTCCGTTTATTAATACGACTTAGTCAAAATGTAATTTACATTATTCAAGATTGTTATACAATCACAATGTGGGCTTTAAACTGCGCAATAACGAGTACAGCGTACTGTAATCACAAACGAATCATCAGCATTACAGCTTGGATTCGCCAATCAATCCTCGAGGAGTGTCCGCGTTCATTCCCCGATGAAACTCCCAGTATGCCGAGGACTGCCCTTGAATATTTTTTGTCTTTCTAGGGGATATACTGACGCGTCACCCAAGTGTCAATTTTGTGACTTCCGGCCCGATTTGTTTTGTGACGGTCCTCATACGTGCCAAAGAAGGGCCGAATCTACAGAGGAAATTACTATGTCAATGTAGCATATGATCCATTGTGTGTATCTTTCCGTATTTCGCCATGAGAAGGGACGGAGTGGGCGAGCTCCCTAGGAGATGGCTTCTGTACAAGGCAATGCATTGGTGGGGTTGGAAAATGGGCGCGAGAGATCGAAAATGGGTGGTGGGCGAGTGAAAGGGGCGACAGGGGAAGCAAAAGGGCGTGACGGGACAGAGGCGAAGGAAGAGGGGAAGGGTAAAGCGAAGTTGAATAATGGAAGAGTTTCATGATGGGTGTTTTATAGGCTAGTAGTGTGCGCCCACCAGGACATGGGTGTGGGACAGGACATGGGTGTGTGACAAGACATGGGTGTGTGACAGGACATGGGTGTGTGACAGGCCATGGGTGTGTGACCGGCCATGGGTGTGTGACAGGCCATGGGTGTGTGACAGGCCATGGGTGTGTGACAGGCCATGGGTGTGTGACAGCCATGGGTGTGTGACAGGCCATGGGTGTGTGACAGGCCATGGGTGTGTGACAGGACATGGGTGTGTGACAGGCCAAGGGTGTGTGACACGCCAAGGTGTGTGACAGACCATGGGTGTGTGATAGGACATGGGTGTGTGACAGGCCATGGGTGTGTGACAGGCCATGGGTGTGTGACAGGTCATGGGTGTGTGACAGGACATGGGTGTGTGACAGGGCATGGGTGTGTGACAGGCCATGGGTGTGTGACAAGACATCGGTGTGTTGACAGGCCATGGGTGTGTGACAGACCATGGGTGTGTGACAGGCCATGGGTGTGTGATAGGCCATGTGTGTGCGACAGGACATGGGTGTGTGACAGGCCATGTGTGTGTGACAGGCCATGGGTGTGTGACAGGCCATGGGTGTGGGACAAGACTTGAAAAGTAGTCATGGGAATGCGAGCAATGAAGGGCGTGCATGCGTGCATGCATGCATGGGCGTGTGTGCATATGTGCATAGGTTTGTGTGCAATCATGTAACTAGAGTTTCTGGTCTCGAGGCTGGTGAGGAAGACACGAAATTTGCAGGACAACCTGATTCGATAGCAGACATGACCTAACAAACCCTATATTCGATAACAGATCCTTCGTTGATCAAACCAATTCTGTTCAGTGAATTGAGGCATACTGCAGTGGGTGTAGATTCCTCGCAAAAAATCCACTCATGCTGGTTTAGTTTTTGGGTAAGAACAAAAGGCGTGGCAAAGAAAAGGTTCGGTAATCGTATCAGCAATCTTCTGACATAGGGTTTCCTAATGGGGTAGCAACGTTATTCTGGGATGCCGAGGAAAGGAGAGGGTCATAACCACTATTTCCTAACAAACGTGGATAGCAAGTCCGGAAAACTTAGGTACATGATGTCCTAACCTCACCTTACTCCGACAGTGAACCTAATATAACACAGGGAATGGTGATTCGGGCATGAGAGTGAGGCAGCGTGATTTAGCGATGAGAGTGTGGCATGGTGATTCAGGGAAGAGAGTGAGGCATGGTGAATGAGGCATCAGAGTTCGAAAGCATCAAAGTTGTTATCTTGATATGCAATAAGAATTGGCGACATATTATGACAAAGGAACCTGACTAAGGGTGAATCTGACAATTGGGATTCGACTGTTGATTCCTGAGATGGGAATCTGACAATGAGGTCAGTCATGGAACGTCGGCACTGGGAATTGTAAACGGGAATCTAAAATTGCAATTCTGACAATAGAGAACTGACTACGGGGATTGGAGAATTCGAACCTGACATGGAAAAATGAAGCGGAACATGACATGAGTATATGCCATGGATAAGTACAACGGAAATCTGACAATGGGAATCATCTGGCTCAGAAATTGACATAGAATTCTGACAGTGAGAATCTGACAGTAAGAATTGAACAAAGGGGAATATATAGATTCGGGCAGCTGCAACGTAGTCAGCATTGAACGTAGTCAGCTGGAATCTGGGGAAAACAAATTGAAGTGAGAATCTGACCACGTGAATTGGACAATGGAATGTGGCTGTGGGTGAATGTGACAATGAGATTCTGACAAATGAATCCGATACGGAAATCTGACAATGGAAGTCTGGCATGGAAAGTTGGCACTGAGAATTGGAAATAGGAATCTGAAAGCGGGAATCTGAGATTGGAAATGACAATGGAATAGATTATACTTACCTGACATGCAAAATAATACCATGGGTATACGAGCGCATATGTGACAACGGAAATTTGACCTGGGGCTTGGGAATCTAACTTGGGAATCTGACCTGGGAATCTGACCTGGAAAGCTGAGGTGGGAATCTGGCTTGGAATCGACTTGGAAAGCTGACTTGGGATTCTGACTAGGAAATCTGACTTGGAATCTCACCAGAAAATCTCACCTTCAAATCTGACTTGGGGTTCTGACTGATTTGGGAAACTGACAGACCTTGGAATCTGACTTGGGGATCTAACCTAGGAATCTGATCTAGGAATCTGACCTGGCATTGTGACCTGGGAATGTGACCTGGGAATCTGATTTGGGAATGTGACTCGGTAATCCGACTTGAGATCTGACTCAGAAATCTGACTTGGAAATCTCACCAGGGAATTTGACAGGAACTTTATGGGATCCTGATAAAGGGAAAGAAATTTTGGAGTGAAATTAATATGCTCATGGCAATAATTCGGAATCTGACCTGGAAATCTGGCTCAAGAATGTGACTTGGGATTCTGACTTGCAAATCTGACCAGGAATCTGACCTGGGAATCTCACCTGGGAATCTGACTGGAAATCTGACCTGCGAGTCTGACCTGGGAATCTGACTTGGGATCTTAATTGAGCATCTGACTCCGGGCCGACTGGAAATCTGACCTGGGAATTTGACTTGGGAATCTAACTT